TAGCTTTCCTTACCCAATGAAATAGAGATGAACGGTGATGACAAAAGCTTGACTTCGGTGAGCAACGATGGTTAACGATGGATGATGGTTATGATCTGTTCGAGTTTCCTTAACTCGAGAGTTTCTTCCTCTTCCTACCAACGTCACAACAACACTAATGACTACAAAAAAACTAAGGCCATCAGATTTTCTCATGTTTCACTTCGACGGCTTAACGAAGAAGAGGATATATACGCTTATGTAAATAACTAAATATACACACATGACACCCACGTTTAAGGTTTTTGTTTTTGTTTTGCTGGGCCATAATGAGCTTACTTATAGATTGGGTCTCACAGTATAACTTAAATTTCATATCAAATTTAGATCAAGTTTATTTCGAATTCACCATGTTATATTTGAAAGTTATCATTTTGCATAGGCCTCTTCAGTTTATGTATGACTAATTCGAAATCTTAGTAAATAACGTAAAAATTTGAATGTCTCTGGATTCTTTATTACCAAAAATAAAATAGTATCTGTTTTATAATGGTCACAATCAAATTACAAAAACGTATAGATACATTAGAATGAGAGAATATTAGTTTACAGCTCGAAAAAGACCGGAGCACCAATCGTGTTGCCAACTCTACGGATACAATCGTTCCATGTCTGTTTACTCTTTGGAATAGCCTTAGATGCAATATTTTTGTAGTCATATGTAGAGAATATGATTTTAACCATTGCGAGATGGCAATCTTTGCCAGTATTCAATACATCACGACAACATTCATCTGTCACTGGCGTCATCTCATCCAACATGTTGTTGAAAATCTCATCTTCGCATTTGGGACTCGGCTTTTTAGGGCAAGCAAGAATATAGTCTTTATGCAAATGGTGAGCAAGCTCTATCTCAGATTCCGTTGTAGGTGAATCAGCTACTTCCAATGGAGTTGGAGATATGTCTGCTTCTTTTGGTATCCCTTGTGAATATGGATCAATTTTTTGGGAATAAATTGGACGAGCCATGGAAAACATTACTATGGATATGAGCATTACCATGAGAAAAGACTTTGCCATATTTGCTTTTGGTTTTGGATGTAAGATTGGTGAGATTAAATAAGAAAACAAGAGATTTTATAGGACAATCGATGAGGATGCTTAATTGATAAAACGTTTATGCATTAATAGTTTTATGTTACAAACCTCATAAACCTCAACATTTAATAGTTTTGTTTAGAATACGTTTACATTAGAAACTTATAATATTAACAAGTAACTTTCAACTTTGTCTTAGATCGAACATATTAGATTTGAGGAAAACTTTAAGAAAACAACACTCTCTTCTCCTTCAGTTTATTACAAATCAAAGTGATATGTTAGACACAAAACAAATAAAAAATATATAAAAAAATTTATAGATGGTGGATTGATTTTTTTATGTTATAATGAGAACGTTCGTTACCAAAAACCGCCATCTCCATCTTCCACCTACAGCTCTGGTTGCCTCAGCTTACTCTGATTTATTCAACTGAAGCAAACTTTCTCTTCGTCATGGAAGGTCGTCTTTACCGGTTCTTCGTCTCAGACGCTATCCTTCCAATCTATGGAGCCTTAATTCACAAACTTCCTTTAAGGAGAAATCATTCCCGAAATATTTTCCCTCCAAAGTGGTCATTCCTGCAAAAAATTTCTCTTGTGGTGAGATCATTTCTGCAAACTTCCCTCTTTTATGAATAGATCGATACAAATTATTGTCTTTTTTATGAAAATATGGAATCCATCATAAGCCTCCGTTTTCGAGAGATTATGTTTGTAATAAGCTCTATTTTTGTTCTACAGGTACAAACGATTATTGGTCACCAGTTGGTTATAGTGTTGAGTTTATAGACTCAAATGGCCAAAACAATGTTAAGACAAAAAGACACTTCATCGCCACAATCGTCTGAGTCAGCGAAAACAAATGGTTGATTAATTATGTTAAAGTTAACGTAGTTTCACGATCAAATCTAATAATGTAGGTAATTTATTTAAATTTTATTAGCGTTGAAATTATTAAAAAAACGTGATTAAGTCTAAATATGTTTGCAAAATGAGTGATCGTTAAACTGAACATATTGAATCAAGTAGTTCTGAAAGAAAAATGATGTTGGAAAGCTTTTTATAATGTTATGTAAGACTTGTTTTGATTAATGTAATACTATCCTTATTTAATTTTTATGATTTGTAAAATATAAAAATTACATATAAATTCTATTTCATAAATTCTAGAAAAATTGATTTAACTATATAAATTAAATATCAACCGAATTACATATATTTATACACCGAAAGATATATGTTATTACATAATAACATGTGCTAAAATAAAATATATGAAAGCATTCGATTACAGCTATAATAGAATGTCAATAAAATGCAATTGTATGGGGTGATCCTATTATAATTGCGGCTAACATAGCGTTCACGAAAACGCTATTAAACATCTATTATACTGCTTTTTGTGTAATATCAATGTGCATTTTTCTGGTAATGTATAAAGTCTGGATAGAACTAAAATTTCATATCGAATTTAGATAAAATTTTTATTTTGAATTCCAAACATTTTACCCACTCTTGCGAGAATATGTTATATTTGAAAGTTATCACTTTGCATAGGTCTCTTCAGGTTATGTTGGACTCATTCGAAATATGAATAAATAACTTAAAATTTTGCATGGCTTTGGATTATATATTACCCAAAATAAAATGGTTACTATTTTATAATGGTGACAATCAAATTACAAAAACGCATAGATACATTAGCACGTGAGAATATTAGTTTACGGCTCGAAAGAGACCGGAGCACCAATCGTGTTGCCAACTCTACGGATACAATCGTTCCATGCCTGTTTACTTTTTGGAATAGCCTTAGATGCAATATTTTTATAGTCATATGTAGAGAATATGATTTTTACCATTGCAAGGTGGCAATCTTTGCCAGTATTCAAAACATCACGACAACATTCATCTGTCACTGGCGTCGTCTCATCCAACATGTTGTTGAAAATCTCATCTTCGCATTTGGGACTCGGCTTTTTAGGGCAAGCAAGAATATACTCTTTATGCAAATGGTGAGCAAGCTCTATCTCAGATTCCGTTGTAGGTGAATCAGCTACTTCCAATGGAGTTGGAGATATGTCTGCTTCTTTTGGTATCCCTTGTGAATATGGATCAATTTTTTGGGAATAAATTGGACGAGCCATGGAAAACATTACTATGGATATGAGCATTACCATGAGAAAAGACTTTGCCATATTTGCTTTTGGTTTTGGATGTAAGATTGGTGAGATTAAATAAGAAAACAAGAGATTTTATAGGACAATCGATGAGGATGCTTAATTGATAAAACGTTTATGCATTAATAGTTTTATGTTACAAACCTCATAAACCTCAACATTTAATAGTTTTGTTTAGAATACGTTTACATTAGAAACTTATAATATTAACAAGTAACTTTCAACTTTGTCTTAGATCGAACATATTAGATTTGAGGAAAACTTTAAGAAAACAACACTCTCTTCTCCTTCAGTTTATTACAAATCAAAGTGATATGTTAGACACAAAACAAATAAAAAATATATAAAAAAATTTATAGATGGTGGATTGATTTTTTTATGTTATAATGAGAACGTTCGTTACCAAAAACCGCCATCTCCATCTTCCACCTACAGCTCTGGTTGCCTCAGCTTACTCTGATTTATTCAACTGAAGCAAACTTTCTCTTCGTCATGGAAGGTCGTCTTTACCGGTTCTTCGTCTCAGACGCTATCCTTCCAATCTATGGAGCCTTAATTCACAAACTTCCTTTAAGGAGAAATCATTCCCGAAATATTTTCCCTCCAAAGTGGTCATTCCTGCAAAAAATTTCTCTTGTGGTGAGATCATTTCTGCAAACTTCCCTCTTTTATGAATAGATCGATACAAATTATTGTCTTTTTTATGAAAATATGGAATCCATCATAAGCCTCCGTTTTCGAGAGATTATGTTTGTAATAAGCTCTATTTTTGTTCTACAGGTACAAACGATTATTGGTCACCAGTTGGTTATAGTGTTGAGTTTATAGACTCAAATGGCCAAAACAATGTTAAGACAAAAAGACACTTCATCGCCACAATCGTCTGAGTCAGCGAAAACAAATGGTTGATTAATTATGTTAAAGTTAACGTAGTTTCACGATCAAATCTAATAATGTAGGTAATTTATTTAAATTTTATTAGCGTTGAAATTATTAAAAAAAACGTGATTAAGTCTAAATATGTTTGCAAAATGAGTGATCGTTAAACTGAACATATTGAATCAAGTAGTTCTGAAAGAAAAATGATGTTGGAAAGCTTTTTATAATGTTATGTAAGACTTGTTTTGATTAATGTAATACTATCCTTATTTAATTTTTATGATTTGTAAAATATAAAAATTACATATAAATTCTATTTCATAAATTCTAGAAAAATTGATTTAACTATATAAATTAAATATCAACCGAATTACATATATTTATACACCGAAAGATATATGTTATTACATAATAACATGTGCTAAAATAAAATATATGAAAGCATTCGATTACCGCTATAATAGAATGTCAATAAAATGCAATTGTATGGGGTGATCCTATTATAATTGCGGTTAACATAGCGTTCACGAAAACGCTATTAAACATCTATTATACTACTTTTTGTGCAATATCAATGTGCATTTTTCTGGTAATGTATAAAGTCTGGATAGAACTAAAATTTCATATCGAATTTAGATAAAATTTTTATTTTGAATTCCAAACATTTTACCCACTCTTGCGAGAATATGTTATATTTGAAAGTTATCACTTTGCATAGGTCTCTTCAGGTTATGTTGGACTCATTCGAAATATGAATAAATAACTTAAAATTTTGCATGGCTTTGGATTATATATTACCCAAAATAAAATGGTTACTATTTTATAATGGTGACAATCAAATTACAAAAACGCATAGATACATTGGCACGTGAGAATATTAGTTTACGGCTCGAAAGAGACCGGAGCACCAATCGTGTTGCCAACTCTACGGATACAATCGTTCCATGCCTGTTTACTTTTTGGAATAGCCTTAGATGCAATATTTTTATAGTCATATGTAGAGAATATGATTTTTACCATTGCAAGGTGGCAATCTTTGCCAGTATTCAAAACATCACGACAACATTCATCTGTCACTGGCGTCGTCTCATCCAACATGTTGTTGAAAATCTCATCTTCGCATTTGGGACTCGGCTTTTTAGGGCAAGCAAGAATATACTCTTTATGCAAATGGTGAGCAAGCTCTATCTCAGATTCCGTTGTAGGTGAATCAGCTACTTCCAATGGAGTTGGAGATATGTCTTGGATCGAACATATTAGATTTGAGGAAAACTTTAAGAAAACAACACTCTCTTCTCATTCAGTTTATTACAAATCAAAGTGATATGTTAGACACAAAACAAATAAAAAATATATAAAAAAATTTATAGATGGTGGATTGATTTTTTTTTATGTTATAATGAGAACGTTCGTTACCAAAAACCGCCATCTCCATCTTCCACCTACAGCTCTGGTTGCCTCAGCTTACTCCGATTTATTCAACTGAAGCAAAATTTCTCTTCGTCATGGAAGGTCGTCTTTACCGGTTCTTCGTCTCAGACGCTATCCTTCCAATCTATGGAGCCTTAATTCACAAACTTCCTTTAAGGTGAAATCATTCCCGAAATTTTTTCCCTCCAAAGTGGTCATTCCTGCAAAAAATTTCTCTTGTGGTGAGATCATTTCTGCAAACTTCCCTCTTTTATGAATAGATCGATACAAATTATTGTCTTTTTTATGAAAATATGGAATCCATCATAAGCCTCCATTTTCGAGAGATTATGTTTGTAATAAGCTCTATTTTTGTTCTACATGTACAAACGATTATTGGTCACCAGTTGGTTATAGTATTGAGTTTATAGACTCAAATGGCCAAAACAATGTTAAGACAAAATGACACTTCATCGCCACAATCGTCTGAGTCAGCGAAAACAAATGGTTGATTAATTATGTTAAAGTTAACGTAGTTTCACGATCAAATCTAATAATGTAGGTAATTTATTTAAATTTTATTAGCGTTGAAATTATTAAAAAAAACGTGATTAAGTCTAAATATGTTTGCAAAATGAGTGATCGTTAAACTGAACATATTGAATCAAGTAGTTCTGAAAGAAAAATGATGTTGGAAAGCTTTTTATAATGTTATGTAAGACTTGTTTTGATTAATGTAATACTATCCTTATTTAATTTTTATGATTTGTAAAATATAAAAATTACATATAAATTCTATTTCATAAATTCTAGAAAAATTGATTTAACTATATAAATTAAATATCAACCGAATTACATATATTTATACACCGAAAGATATATGTTATTACATAATAACATGTGCTAAAATAAAATATATGAAAGCATTCGATTACCGCTATAATAGAATGTCAATAAAATGCAATTGTATGGGGTGATCCTATTATAATTGCGGTTAACATAGCGTTCACGAAAACGCTATTAAACATCTATTATACTACTTTTTGTGCAATATCAATGTGCATTTTTCTGGTAATGTATAAAGTCTGGATAGAACTAAAATTTCATATCGAATTTAGATAAAATTTTTATTTTGAATTCCAAACATTTTACCCACTCTTGCGAGAATATGTTATATTTGAAAGTTATCACTTTGCATAGGTCTCTTCAGGTTATGTTGGACTCATTCGAAATATGAATAAATAACTTAAAATTTTGCATGGCTTTGGATTATATATTACCCAAAATAAAATGGTTACTATTTTATAATGGTGACAATCAAATTACAAAAACGCATAGATACATTGGCACGTGAGAATATTAGTTTACGGCTCGAAAGAGACCGGAGCACCAATCGTGTTGCCAACTCTACGGATACAATCGTTCCATGCCTGTTTACTTTTTGGAATAGCCTTAGATGCAATATTTTTATAGTCATATGTAGAGAATATGATTTTTACCATTGCGAGATGGCAATCTTTGCCAGTATTCAAAACATCACGACAACATTCATCTGTCACTGGCGTCGTCTCATCCAACATGTTGTTGAAAATCTCATCTTCGCATTTGGGACTCGGCTTTTTAGGGCAAGCAAGAATATAGTCTTTATGCAAATGGTGAGCAAGCTCTATCTCAGATTCCGTTGTAGTGAATCAGCTACTTCCAATGGAGTTGGAGATATGTCTGCTTCTTCTGGTATCCCTTGTGAATATGGATCAATTTTTTGGGAATAAATTGGACGAGCCATGGAGAACATTACTATGGATACGAGCATTACCATGAGAAAAGACTTTGTCATATTTGCTTTTGGTTTTGGATGTAAGATTGGTGAGATTAAATAAGAAAACAAGAGATTTTATAGGACAATCGATGAGGATGCTTAATTGATAAAACGTTTATGCATTAATAGTTTTATGTTACAAACCTCATAAACCTCAACATTTAATAGTTTTGTTTAGAATACGTTTACATTAGAAACTTATAATATTTACAAGTAACTTTCAACTTTGTCTTGGATCGAACATATTAGAATTGAGGAAAACTTTAAGAAAACAACACTCTCTTCTCATTCAGTTTATTACAAATCAAAGTGATATGTTAGACACAAAACAAATAAAAAATATATAAAAAAATTTATAGATGGTGGATTGATTTTTTTTATGTTATAATGAGAACGTTCGTTACCAAAAACCGCCATCTCCATCTTCCACCTACAGCTCTGATTGCCTCAGCCTACTCCGATTTATTCAACTGAAGCAAACTTTCTCTTCTTCATGGAAGGTCTTCTTTACCGGTTCTTCGTCTCAGACGCTACCCTTCCAATCTATGGAGCCTTAATTCACAAACTTCCTTTAAGGAGAAATCATTCCCGAAATTTTTTCCCTCCAAAGTGGTCATTCCTGCAAAAAATTTCTCTTGTGGTGAGATCATTTGTGCAAAATTCCCTCTTTTATGAATAGATCGATACAAATTATTGTCTTTTTTATGAAAATATGGAATCCATCATAAGCCTCCATTTTCGAGAGATTATGTTTGTAATAAGCTCTATTTTTGTTCTACATGTACAAACGATTATTGGTCACCAGTTGGTTATAGTGTTGAGTTTATAGACTCAAATGGCCAAAACAATGTTAAGACAAAATGACACTTCATCGCCACAATCGTATGAGTCAGCGAAAACAAATGGTTGATTAATTATGTTAAAGTTAACGTAGTTTCACGATCAAATCTAATAATGTAGGTAATTTATTTAAATTTTATTAGCGTTGAAATTATTAAAAAAAACCGTGATTAAGTCTAAATATGTTTGCAAAATGAGTGATCGTTAAACTGAACATATTGAATCAAGTAGTTCTGAAAGAAAAATGATGTTGGAAAGCTTTTTATAATGTTATGTAAGACTTGTTTTGATTAATGTAATACTATCCTTATTTAATTTTTATGATTTGTAAAATATAAAAATTACATATAAATTCTATTTCATAAATTCTAGAAAAATTGATTTAACTATATAAATTAAATATCAACCGAATTACATATATTTATACAGCGAAAGATATATGTTATTACATAATAACATGTGCTAAAATAAAATATATGAAAGCATTCGATTACCGCTATAATAGAATGTCAATAAAATGCAATTGTATGGAGTGATCCTATTATAATTGCGGCTAACATAGCGTTCACGAAAACGCTATTAAACATCTATTATACTGCTTTTTGTGTAATATCAATGTGCATTTTTCTGGTAATGTATAAAGTCTGGATAGAACTAAAATTTCATATCGAATTTATATAAAAATTTTATTTTGAATTCCAAACATTTTACCCACTCTTGCGAGAATATGTTATATTTGAAAGTTATCACTTTGCATAGGTCTCTTCAGGTTATGTTGGACTCATTCGAAATATGAATAAATAACTTAAAATTTTGCATGGCTTTGGATTATATATTACCCAAAATAAAATGGTTACTATTTTATAATGGTGACAATCAAATTACAAAAACGCATAGATACATTGGCACGTGAGAATATTAGTTTACGGCTCGAAAGAGACCGGAGCACCAATCGTGTTGCCAACTCTACGGATACAATCGTTCCATGCCTGTTTACTTTTTGGAATAGCCTTAGATGCAATATTTTTATAGTCATATGTAGAGAATATGATTTTTACCATTGCGAGATGGCAATCTTTGCCAGTATTCAAAACATCACGACAACATTCATCTGTCACTGGCGTCGTCTCATCCAACATGTTGTTGAAAATCTCATCCTCGCATTTGGGACTCGGCTTTTTAGGGCAAGCAAGAATATAGTCTTTATGCAAATGGTGAGCAAGCTCTATCTCAGATTCCGTTGTAGGTGAATCAGCTACTTCCAATGGAGTTGGAGATATGTCTGCTTCTTCTGGTATCCCTTGTGAATATGGATCAATTTTTTGGGAATAAATTGGACGAGCCATGAAAAAAATTACTATGGATAGGAGCATTATGATGAGAAGAGACTTTGCCATATTTGCTTTTGGTTTTGGATGTAAGATTGGTGACATTAAACAAGAAAACAAGAGATTTTATAGGACAATCGATGAGGATATTTAATTGATAAAACGTTTATTCATTAATAGTTTTATGTTACTGACTTCATAAATCTCAATATTTAATAGTTTTGTTTAGAATACGTTTACATTAGAAGCCTATAATATTTTTACAAATAACTTTTGACTGTGTCTGGGATCATACATATTAGATTTGAAGAAAGCTTGAAGATAACAATGCTCCATTTTTTTTCAATTTATTACAATCAAAGTTATACATTAGACATAAATCAATTAAAAATAAAAGTAAAATAAAAATATATAAGGATGGATTGTTTTTGTTTGATTATATTGACGGCGTTCGTTGACACTTTTAATCTGAAATGGAACTTGCGAAGATCTATGATCCTTACATGATGATAATCGATTCTCAAACTTCCTCATTTTATAAAAAGATCAATCAGTAAAACTTTTTCTCTCATGGAGTGATCATTCCCACAAAATTTCTCCTTTATGGAGAGATCTTCCCTAAAAACATTCTCTTTTATGAAGTTATCGATTCATATTATTTTTACTTTTATGAAGAAGATATTGAATCCATCATTAGCCCTCAATTTGGAGAGATTTATTTTTTAAGCTCTATTTATGTTCTAGCTCTTTGAGCTATTATTAATCACGAGTTGGTTACCGTGTTGAGTTCATGCAACTGACCAAAATGACGTCTTAGTCAGCAAAAACAAATAGTTGACTAATTGTTTTAAAATCAATGTAGTTTTACGCTCAAATTCAATAATTTAGATAGTTTATTTAAATTTTTTTAGCTTTTAAGTTAAAAAAAAAAGCACGATATCTTTCTTGAGCTATAAAAACACATTGCACGGTTATTTTGGATTGTAATACATAGTTTTCTCCTTTTTAATTATATTCATGTTAGAACCCCTCATTTTAGGCTTTGATATAATGCAATGTTTGAATAAAATAAAAAATACTTATAAGTTTGTGCATGCCTTTTTTTGACAGATAAATTCATTTAAAATTCCTTCATTTATATAACCTTATTTGAAATAATATCATAATAGACTAAAAAAAATATCACTAACTAAAAAAAAATATCTTTATAAATTAATAAATATTTGTAATCTCAACGTTATTAGTTTATAGAGGATTTCAGTGATTACAACATTTAAGCATTTCACATTAATTTTTCTCTATCCTTATTTTTAAATAATAAGATATCGTATTTACTCGTTTTCTTAGACTCCAGCGGAAAAATCTTTTTATAACTGAGATATTAATATCACATCAAGTATGGATATAATAAACATGGTAACAATTTCAACGATTAAAAGCGAAAAATAATCATCCAAATTTTGACTAACCAAATATATTTACATTTTGACTGCAATCTGTAACATATAGTAATACCAAAAATATCATTAAGGATTTGGAGTAATTTAATAAAAAGATTGCGATGAAAATCATAAATTCAAACATAACATACATATAAAAAGTCTATAGGTTTTCGCCACCTTTGATAATAAACTTAAAACATAATTTTGAAATGGCATCAAAAATCACATTCTTCTTCTTCATTGCTCTCGTTATCGATTGTAAGTCTCTACAGTCTCTCTAACATGACTCTTAAGCATACTTATTGATTCAAAATTTAAACATAACACTATTATATGATTTTGTGGTTTGGTGTTCATAAGGTGCGATGATGGTTACTACGCAGACAGCAGAAGCTCAGATCTTTCTTCCTTGCGTGACAACGAAAGATTGTGAATACCTTCACTGCTCAAGCGGGACAGCTCTATGTGTAAACAGACAATGCCAATGTAGCCGTTCATCGATTCATCAAACCAAACTCGACAACTTAAAGACGATGGACTCTGCTAAGAAGTGCAAGTGGACACAGGATTGTGATCCTCGTATGAGATTTACATGCGTCTCCGGTTCTTATATGTGTTTTGATGGCCTATGTACTTGTACGAATTAATGGCAAGAATATTAAACATCCCAAAATGATGCATATTATAAGATTTTAAATTCTTAGTAGTTATCTAAGAAATTAAATAAATAAATATATATATATATATAGACAAACTTGTTTGTGAAATCTAGTATAACGGAAAATTGTGATGAAAACACATATACAAATATATATGGTGAAAAGACACAAATCTAAATGAATAAATGTAATTTTTTAAAAAGACACAACCGTAAGAGACATTTTTCAAATTATTTAAAAAAAAATCTTTTACGAAGGATTAAGATAAAAAAAGACACAACTATAAACGGATTTTACTTGGATTACTCTAAACATTTAACAAAGAATTACGATGAAAAGATGCGATCATAGAAGACATTTATTCAGATTGTTATTATTATATAGTTGCAAGCTTTTTGTTTTTACTATATATGAATAAAGTCTACAAACTGTAATAGAAAATAGAAAGAAAAAAACAATATACAGTGTATGTACTTTCTAAATCTTTTTGGAGTATAAAATTTAACGGAGTATATTGTAGTTCTTTTCATTATTCAATTCAACGGTAATGTCTCTCTAAATTTATGATAAATTGATATGGCATTATAAATGGATATAATAAATATGATATAAATATCAGCCAGTAAAAACAAAAGGATCCTGAACTTTCTGACCAAACCAATTAACCAAAGTATTTACATTTTGACTACATTTTGTAGAATACACGATTTTCTTTTTTTATGGCAAAAATCATCAAAATTTTGAGTCAATGAAATAAACGATTGAAATTAAATTATGGTATTTCAAAGAGACTATAAATAGCAGAGGTCTCCATATAGGTTATAGCCATAATTAAGAAATGGCTTCAAAGATCACAATCTTCTTCCTGCTTGCTCTCGTGGTCGCTTGTAAGTCTCTCTAATCTCTCCTCTAACAAGCCTTTTACTTAAGCATGCTTATTGAATTTAAAGTTTGAACAGAACATACCTTTTCCTGGTCCGGTGTGCTTCATTAGGTACAATGATGATGCGTATTCCAACTGTGGATGCTGAGGTTGTTCTTCCTTGCAAAACAACAGATGATTGTGAAAACCTTCCCTGCTCGGGCGACGAATGTGAATATCTTCCCTGCTCGGGAAGGCCACCTCTATGTATAAAGGGACAATGCAAATGCACCGCTTCATTGACTCATCAAGAAAAACTCGATAACCTAAGGAAAATGAATGATGCTAAGACATGCAAGCAGACGAGTGATTGCGATCCTCGTATGAGATATTCTTGTGTCTCGGGATCTTTTATATGTTTGAATGGCTTTTGTACTTGTACCTAGTACAGTATATTATTATAAACATATGCATATTTCTTGCTTTTACCATCGTAGGAAGATTTTCTCAAGGATGATAATAACATGTATTCAGAAAAAGTTTCAATAGTTTGTGTTTTTTTTTATATAGAGAAAGATAAGATCGAATAGTTTATGGAGTCTTTTTTGACATTCAACTTCGTCTATATATATGGACTGCAAAAAGGCCCTTATCGTTAATATTGTTCAATACATTGCTATTTTGCATGATATACAAAGATAAATAAAATAAAATAAAAATCATTATAAAATGTTTATTTCAGTAAAGACAATGGTAGACAACCAAACTGGACGGACCCAAGCTGGGGTTGCCGAACATTCACACAGAACCCCAGCCCATCCTACAGTATGCTATTGCCAGCCAACCCAATCTCATTATTTAATTAATATAGAGTCGGGTCGAATCGGCCTACTAGAATGTGTAGGAAACCCTCGAGATAGCATCATATGAGGATAGCCGATGTGTTCGAGTGGACATACGCTCCCGAACACAAGGGAAGTGGTAGGAAGCTAGTTCTGAGTCTTGCAATGTCACCAATGGGGCTGAGTGTTTGTACGGATGTGCCCTTTGGTGTTCCTAGAAGCCTTTTCCGAGAGTTTTGGCGTAGGGATCACAAAGTTTGCTCGTCTATTGGCCTCTTCCAAAATTATCATCATATTTATCTATGTGCCATATTTACGTGTCATGATGATTTAGTTGACAAGCGAAAAATCATTCCCCACATAATTTTCAATATAATTAGTACCTTCGAAGGAAATAATTCTATATATTTATTCCCCAAGTTTGACTAAACTATTTGATAAATTTATTTATATGGCATATTGGCATCCTAATTGAATAGATATTTTTATATATGACATTCAAAACAGGCAACTTTTTTGTAAAAAGTTTTTTTGTCATTAAATAAATTTTACATTCAAATTAAAAATTATGGTATTTAAAGTACAACTAGTATTGACTAAACGTATTTACATTTTGACTACATTCTAAGATATTTAATGCCAATATCTCATTAAGTATTTGATTCATTGACTGAAGATATCCAAATTAAATTCTTCCCAAATTTCTAAGAGACTATAAATAAATAGAAAAGCTCACTAGATTACAGGTGCCTTTGATATACATTTAAAACAATAATTTAAAAATGGCATCAAAAATCACATTCTTCTTCCTCTCTGCCCTCGTTATCGCTTGTAAGTCCCTTTAATCTCTCTAACAAGACTTTTATTTAACCATACTTTCTCGTTTTAAAGTTTTATTTTTGTTTCACAAAAAATATCGTTTTATATTTTCAATGCAAAATATTGAAAAAAACCATTTTTAACTCTATTACTTCAATGTATTAATAAGAGAGATAATTTTATTTAGTGTATTAATAAGAGTATAAAAGAAATTTTATTATTTTTCTTAATATGCGTGAAAAATTATAGAATAACATTCTTTGTGAAACATAAGGAGTATTCGATTTGAAGTTTGAACATAACACATGTTTTTTTATCGATGTACGTGCGTCATTAGATGCATTGATGGTGAGTATTCCGACAGCGGAAGCTCAGATTTTTCTTCCTTGCAAAACAAACAAAGATTGTGAATATTTTCACTGCTCGAGCGGGACACCTTTATGTATCATGAGACAATGCACATGTACCATTTCATCGACTCATCAAGCGAAACTTGAAAACTATAGACAATAAATTATGCTAAAACGTGCAAGTTGACGAGTGATTTTAATCCCTCTGCATGCATTACTATCTTCGGAAGATTTTCTCAATGATCATAATAATATTTTCAGAAAGAGTTTTAATTGCACTTGTTATTATGATTAGAAGGATAATAATTGCGTAGTTCATAACAACTGTAGGCGTTTTTCAACTAAACAAAAATCGTTAAAGAAATCTAAAACTTGAAAAATGAAATCTTCGGTTATTAGATCATTTTTCATTTTCGATTGAGATCTTAACAATTTGTGCAATCGCGTTCTTGCTATTTTTCTTGCTTGAAGTTCCAGAGGCAGAATACTCAACATACATGCACTAATTTATGAAACAATTCAGCCCAAGAAACTGTAAACTACAGTTTACACTGTATAATTTAATTTAATATCAATTAGGTAGAAATCTTTATAAAATTTACCAGTGGTCATTAGGACTTTCAAAATATTGTAAGTAAAAAATGTGAATAAATGATCTTTTTAACATCGTTCCTTAATTAGAACTATTTCAGTCACATGCCGTAAAATTTCAAACATATTTTGTTTTTCTTCATCTTTTACGATTTCATCGACATATAAGGTGTTTATTTCGGTTTATAAACATGGCGATTAAAAAGTAATCATCGCATTGTTCAATCTTTTAACTAAATCCATACTTTTGTTTTGATGCTACTTATAGCATACTACTAATGCGGAATCATCACTGTTACTATAACTAACAGATAGACGTGACTTTGGGGAATGAGAATCGGTTTAATTTCACTTTAAACGAACATATAAATTATTTTACTGTAGCTCATAGTAACAATGGTTGCAGCTCGCGGGCACCAGCAAGAGTGGAGAGACAGATTGCATGGATCCCGCCATCGGAGGGGTGGGTTAAGCTAAGTACCGACGGTGTTTCAAGGGGAAATCCAGGGAGCGCAACGGCTGGTGGAGTTATGCGTGATGGGGAGGGCAATTGGTGTGGTGGATTTGCTCTTAACATTGGGATTTGCACGGCGCCTTTAGCGGAACTATGGGGAGTTTATTACGGACTTTACATAGCATGGGAGCGTCGGGTTACAAGGTTAGAGTTGGAGGTGGACTCGGAGATAGTGGTGGGTTTTTTGACGACGGGGATTAGTGATTCTCATCTGTTGTCGTTCCTAGTACGTTTGTGCTATGGCTTCATATCGAGGGACTGGCTAGTCCGTATTTCTCATGTGTATAGGGAGGCTAATCGTCTAGCGGATGGATTAGCAAACTATGCATTCTCTTTACCTTTGGGTTTTCATGCTTTTGCTTCAATACCGGATGATGTTCGTTCTATTTGGTTCGACGATATGAATGGATCTACGCGATCTAGACATGTCCGATTGTAATTTTCTATTTTTTCTTTAATAAAGTATGGGAGACTTGTCTCCCTCTTCATACCAAAAAAAAAAGCATATATACAATTTCTTTTTGTGGCCGAAATGGATTCTTACCGGCCTAAGGAAATTTATAACCACATAATTAGAAAGGACAAGCCACCTTTTTGATTGATTTAACAATATATTTGTCTAGAGTTATATCACATGTCGAAGAACATTATAAATGTGTTTTTCTTTTGCTTGAAATCAACGTTATAAAACTATTTCTTTATATAGATTGATTCGAGATAGAGATTTTATACATATCAAGATCAAGATATGTAGGTATTTGTGCACACATGATAATATGACTAATTATTATGTTTGTGCTCATCTAAAAGTGGGGAGGCATGATTGACCTAAGGCATAATATTTTCTAGGGGGTAAATTGATTTTCATAGTGAAGTAATAAAAGAATATTAATGGATTTGTATTTTACAAATTATGAAAATAAAACAGAAATTAACTCAACTATTGTATTTTTCTCTTTAACTACAAAGTTGCATATTTGAAAGATGATTTATCATTTCGAAAAATTGTTTCTTCGACCAGATGAGTCAACTCATAAAAATCTAGAAAATGAAATTCTTTCACAAAAAGCTATCATTATAATCTAGAAAATGAAATTCTTTCACAAAAAGCTATTATTATAGGATACAAATATTACATCAACATATATTTTCATTTAAATATTCATTAAATCGTATAATAACGAACAGATATATGATTCATTTTATAAAAAAAAAGGAGTTTTTAGTGAAAACAAATATTACAACTTTATTTCCATTAAATATAGAGTAACTATTAAGGAAAAATAAAGTGGTATAGTTTTCTAATAATAATATTAACTAGAGTAAGTTTAGTAGTTAATGTTTTTATATTTGGTTTAAATGTGTAATTCATTGATCAAAATAAGAAAATATGTACAGATGTTTCAATTGTTTCAAACTAGAGTAGAAAGCTTAGGAGCAAAAACTGAAATTGAGACACTTAACAGAGCATTATACGAGAAATGAAACAGAGCATGTGTCAGACCATGAGATCGGACTGCTATGGTCGGACCATTAGCCATGTATGGGATGTGTTAATGTTATTTTCATGGATTGACATCATTTAGAGCCTCAAACCCCAAAAAAAATTGGAGTATCCTACACCTTGAAGTTGACATTTGCTGACGCCATTTCGCAGCAGCCAGTTAGGTTTCAAAAGTGCCAATGATATATTTATTTGATTAATATATAACATAACATTTTCTTTAATTTATTATGGTTTCGTGTGGCTCTCCTTAATCGTAAAGATTATATGCATGCTAATCCTTCTTGTTTTCTTAATTCAATCGTTAATGATTATTTTTAATTTCCAAAATTTGTGGTTTAAGTTTTATCGCAATGGTTCGAAATAATCTGCATCTTGACGTATATAGAAGAAGACCTTTTGACAAAAATAAAAATAAAAATAAAAAATCTTGACTTATATAGATCAAAGGGCCTTTCTGACCTATTTTTATTGTTAAATATTAAAATATAGTTTTTATACAATATTTACATAATAGATTGTCTTGTACTGTGCATATTTTCGATTTAGAATACAAAACAAAAAAATAATAATAATAGTAATAAAAAATAAAACGATTCTTATTTTTTATTACATATTTACATAGTAGATTGTTTTGTACTGGAAAATCGTTTTATTTTTTATTACATATTCACGGTATCAACAAAAAACACAATCTATATATATATTGTGTTTTTTGTTGATACCGTGAATATGTATGATCAATTTACTAGTTAGATTTCTAATTAAAGGTTTTAAAAAGAGACATTTTGAATATCTCATATATGTATTCTTCTCATACAATTTAAATTAATATATGTTAAAATAT